GTGCCGGGGAGCCGCGCCGTGTCCGTGCCCCTTCAGCCGCTGCAGTACCCAGCCGTTACGGAGGTTTGAAAGAGGCTATAATGCGGTTACAGAGGACGTCGTTTTATACCTTCCGGCTTGCTATGATAATCTTTAACTGGGGGCAGCTGGGAAAAGCATTTACCTCTCCATTTTCTTAGATATAAATGCTATCTTGGCTGCAGTTTCATTTTACAATATGGTAATATGCTATCCAGGAAAGTCTTGCTACATGCTAATTTATCCAGTAGGCAAATTCCTTTTGGCTAATAAAAGTGCTTGCACAGGAAGCTCAAAACCCAGCAGCAATTAATTATTGACAGAGCATGTGAATTAGAGATAAAAGAAAAGTCATTCTTTCTCGCACACAAGATAGTAAATAAATTTAATTATTGTACTAGAAGCAAGGGATCTTATTCTGTATTAAGTTTTATTAGCTGCGACATTTAAAAGCATGTCATCATAACAAAAAGGTCTTGTGTAATCCTAACTGCACCACTCTGGTACAAGGCTCTGAAGTGAATAGACTTAATTGAGCAAATGGAAGCAGATGGCTTGCTGAACAGACAGGTATTGTACAGGTTTATTGTCAATTAACTTTCGTCTACATATGCCTATGGTGAACTGACTGTATAATGTGCTACCAAAGCTGATTTAACACTTCAGGCGCCCGCTGTGCCCAGGGCCCTCGGACAGACAGGCCCAGAGGCAGTTTGACCCGAGGCGTGCGGGTCCAGCGTCCCTCCTCCTCAACGTCCTGCCAAAACCGGGCGCCTTCCCAGCCCGTCACTAACCTCTCCCCTCTCCTCCTCTCCTTCTGCGCAGGAACGTGATGCCCAAGACCCTGGAGGGCCAGATCACCATGGAGAAGACCCCCAGCTACTTTGTGACCAACGAGGCGCCCAAGCGCATTCACTCCATGGCCAAGGACACCAAGTTGATCGTGGTGGTGAGAAACCCGGTCACCCGGGCCATCTCGGACTACACGCAGACACTCTCCAAGAAGCCGGACATCCCCACCTTTGAGGTGCTCGCCTTCAAGAACCGGACCCTGGGGCTGATCGATGCCTCCTGGAGTGCGATCCGCATTGGGATCTATGCCCTGCACTTGGAGAACTGGCTCCAGTATTTCCCGTTGTCCCAGATCCTTTTTGTCAGTGGCGAGAGGCTCATCACTGACCCGGCTGGGGAAATGGCCAAGGTCCAGGATTTCTTAGGCCTCAAGAGGATTGTGACAGAGAAACATTTTTATTTTAATAAAACCAAGGGGTTCCCCTGTTTAAAGAAGCCAGAGGACAGCAGTGCTCCCCGGTGCTTGGGCAAGTCCAAGGGTCGAACTCACCCCAAAATAGACCCGGATGTCATCCATAGACTGCGGAAGTTTTACAAACCTTTCAATGTTATGTTTTACCAAATGACAGGCCAAGATTTTGAGTGGGAGCAGGAAGAAAGCGATAAGTAGAACCAAGAAATCAGGAAAAAAGCTCTTTTCTTTTGAGATGTGAATCACTGTTAGAGACGCAAAACTCGCATGGGGCTGCAGTCTCAGTCTGGTAAGAATGGGACTCTTGTGCTGTCAAGGTTAAAGTCAAGCTGAACAGCATTTCCAGCTCTGAAACCTTAGAGATATGTCAGCTCTAGGGTGCACTGGGGCCTGGGCTCTCCCCTCCTGCTACGTGAAGGATCAGGGAATGGGTGGGAGGAGGAGAAGCTGCAGGGAGCAGAGCCCCCGGGGTGAGGGGATGCTTTGTGCTGGCGTTTGGCTGCTGGTGTGTCCCTCGTAACCGGGCTGGCGGGACTAGCACGTCCTGCCGCTGCCAGCTGAGCATGAAGGTGGCTTGCAAAATCCAGCAGCAACGAGACAAACCAATAGATTTGATTTCTTCTGCCCTGGCTTTTAGTTTTGCCTGAACAGCAGCATCAGATCTGGTAATTTCACGACATGTGCATTCACGTGCACACACTCGTGTGTTTGTGTGTGGAAGGAATAAAGCCAGTTATGCTGCAAAGGAACTATGTACAGAAACTTCATTTGCACCAGACCTTCCAGTTACTTGTTGCACTAAAACTAGTATTTACCAAGTGCCACAAAAAAGCCTTGGCCCCAGTTCTCCTCTTGCTGCTGGATGTAGTTCCACGGGCGGAAGAGAATTGTTTCTGATTTACTTGGATGCTCAGTAAGATCAGAATCTGGGCCTTCCCCTCAATCCACCCATGGTCCTCTAGAAAATCATGTCCTTAAACCATTCTCAGGCACTAGCTCAGCATGATGTGGTGGACACCATCCAGCAAGGCTGACAGAGATGCAGCGCAGCAGCGTGTGTCCGTATAGCATGTCCCATCCGGGCAGCTCGCTCCTACCTGCCCAGGAAGAAGTCTGTGATCTGGAAACAGGCATGTCCCTGGAAGCAGGGTTGTTCCTGCAGGTCCGAGGTGTTGGGGCGGTGGGGAGGTCAAACCTCATGGTATGTCCAGGTAGGTGTATGCTGCCCAGGCACTGGCCCTGGGACTGCAGCTCACTTGTACCTTGGACACCAGAGCTCTGCTCCTTACTGTTGACAGCTAGGTCTGCAAAATTGTGAAGCAGCCTTAGTCTTTACTTCAGAATCAGTAACAAAAAAGCAATTAATTCCCAGGGTGAGCACTGGTCTGCACAAAATGTGTGCTTTCTAGTGGAAATGACCAAGATGTACACCCAATCAAATTTGCAAGTCCTGGTAGCAACTATAAAACAAACCCATATCACACCTGGATCCTCCAGCAGTGTGATGTGAGCTGCATGCTGGGATCGGTGGAGAGTGAGATGGCAGCACTTGGACGCAGCTGCACTGTTTTCCCTGACTGTTATTGAGAGAAAAACACTGAGAGCGGTAGCAAAGGAAAAAATGCAGAGCTACCATTGCGGAAACGTTTCCTTCCTCTGGGTGGTTTCCAAGGCCAGTCGAGCATGCTTTTCTTCCTTTTAGCAAGTGGTGGTGAGCCACCTTCGAGGGGAGCGTGGCGGTGTGTTTGCCTCCCAGCGCCTTTGCGATGTCGGGTTCCTGGCTGTCCCAAAGCAGCAGTGATGCAGCTTAAGATTTCTTTAGGAAGACCAAGACTCGGTTTTGATTAAGGTGGCAAGAAATCCTTATTGATCCAACTAACCAAACAAAATCATTGCTATGCTGGGTGACAAGCTGCACCTGCTTTGGGTTTCACGGTCTGTCATGTGGTTCGTTACACCAACAGTGGTGCTGGTGCCTCGGACTGGGTAAAAACAAGAGCTAAATTCATTTGGAAAATTTACGCTGTGGGCCGTGCTAGAGGGGCGTCACAAAAGTCCCTGCTAAAGTAACGTCAGTTCCTTTTAGCCTGATCAGATTTAAAACAGCTCCTGATACAAAACAGCAAATCTAAAAATTATTATGTGAAAATTGGAAGTATGTAATAGGAACAGCTTTAAATTGCTTCACATGTTGTTAAAATGTCATTTCATCTCCTAAGTGAAAACTGTTGTTACACAACTTGTGCAAGATGATGGATGAATTCGGTCGGGGACGAGGGCTTTGTTTCCAGACCCAGCACCCAGCTCCTCGCCCGAGGGACGCGCAGGACGGTTTCCGCGCTCACAGCCTGGTGCAGCCCCCCGGCCGCGGCAGCTCGCACCCGC